GGATACATTGTGTCGTAATCATACGACATTAGGAATGAAAATAAAATTGTTCCATTTCAACTTTCAGAAACATTATTGTTATTGCAGTTGCCAACATCCCTTATATAAGAAAAAGATAGTTAATGAATAAATGTCAAATTAATGACTTGGAAATAATAGCTAATGGGTGAATTTTAGGTTAAGAAACCCGTTATCAATCAATGTTTAAATTTATTTAGGTGAAATCAAAAGTAGATTTTAAAATACATTTAGAAGATTGATTTTTATTTTTTTTTTTAGTTTATTGATTTCAACACACAAAATTAATATTAAACTGAGGATTTACCTTCAGGTTTTCTTCTTTTCTTTCATTCAGCAGCTTCCACTAAGGCATAACTTACTCAGCACTACGATATCAATATTGACATGTAATTGCATACTAGAAAGACCACTATGCGACTGTGTGAACCCGATAATGACTTTTGTCGGGTTTGTGGTGGCGCGATTGAGAAGCAAACTGTACTCTATCTCATTACTGGCTAGGAGAAGATTCCTAATTTTTAGGGCCTCTTTTCATACTCTTTTCATACCGACTTGGCTAAGTTTATAGACTTGACAGGTTGATTAATTTTCACATGAATGGGGAGTTGTGATTACCATTACTGTTCATACACTGAACTATAGTTTGCGTATGAAAAATCCTAAAACGTGGTATCACAACGGGCCAATATTTATGCTCAACTGGGGTTTGAGCACAAAGCTGCTATTTCAACCTAACCTTAACATCAACTATTTTAAGCATTTATTTCGTTTATTTAATACCACGCAAGAAATTACCTGGTACTTTTAAACTTTTAAGGAAAACATGCCTGGGTAAAATATTATATGCATATCCTGTAGTGAAAAGTAATGCAATAGAATTTTTGGTCATAGCACTTCATATGTCTTCTATTTAAATTACATTCGCACGATTTAAATATAAGTAAAATAAAATATTCCTTTACATTACCAAACATTAATTTATACGATAATTATTTGACTATAACATTATTTGATACACTTATCTTTACAGAAATGATATTTCTTTAATAATTTTTCTATAAATGTTTAATTTTTTATTGAGTAAGGTAGAAGGAGTGCAGTTGCAGTAATAGATAATTTCTGTTTATATATAAACACCTACTCGTATATGAGTATCTGTAGCATATATTATGTCATTTTTGTAATTGGTATGGATATTTGTTACAAACGTCTGAAAACTTTGTAGATGATGTCATATTAATAATCAATTAATGAGTGACGATTCTATCCCATGCAACGTACGCATAAGAAAACTGAAATTACCTCTCTCATAACGGAACGACAAATCTAATATCTAGTTTTTTAGCATTATTTAGCAAAAATATTATTTAAATTAAACTAAAGGGATTACCATATTTTATGAGTATATTTATTTTGTGGGTATGAAATTCAAAATATCTTATATTTGTAAGATATGAGGTCCTATAATTTTTTGTATTTTAATTATTTTGATTATATTTTTAAAATTTTATAAAAATGTATAAACTTAATATATTATTATTTTATTTGTGACCAAAAATATTATATAATAATTTATTATCGGGCTAATTGATTAATTTAAAAATAAAAATAATAAAAAAACTATAATTTATTATTTATATTTAAAAACAGTTTATATTTCATTAAAATATTTTTCCAATATTATGTCTATCTTCGATTGTCATCTTCAGGGAAACTGAAGATACAAACTGAAGATGACTATCGAAGATAGTCGAAATATTAGAAAAATATTTTAATAAAATATAATTTGTTTCGAAATATAAACAATAAATTATAATTTTTTTATATCTATTTAAATTGACCAATTAGTCTGATAATAAATTTTTATATAAACTTAATATACTGAAGCTTAAAATTTTTATTTAATAATCACGACCTACCCTACACGCTTTAATAATCCTTTGTGGTATCCAATTTTTTATGTAAAAAAAATATTTTTAAATGAAAAATAAATTCAACTCAAACCGTGATTAAAATATAAACAAAATTTTTTTTTCTATTTAAATATTTTTAACAATATTAAAAAAGAACAACTTCAACTTCATTCACTTTACCAACAAAATAATGTAGTCTCGAAAACACTTAGAATATTACCAATTTTATTTATTTAATTATTTATTGTATTTATTTATATCTTATTGATTTTTGTTTGCTACTCATTTTATGGATTATTTTAATCTATGCACTTTATCATTACAACTAACCATAGCGCTGATAATAATAATGACTTTTTGTCAACATCATCATTATCGACATCATCATCATTATCACAATAATCACCAACAAATCATTTATCACAGAAATTTCGCGTATTTTTCACCTGTGTACACACTTCGTTGTTGTTGCTACTCTGCTGCGTTTGTTGTTGGTGTATTGCACAGGCGCTACCTGCATATGAGCCGCTATTTTTGTATTTTTTCTTTTACTAAACTTTAAAAAGATCTAATTTCGTTTTAGAATATAAATCTGTTTTATTCAAATATTTTATAATATATTTAAATTTTATATATAATTCAATAATGCAATGCACATTTTTTTATTTTAATATTAATAACATTTCCATCCCACAAAACTCTTCCGCGCGAACCTTCGATACACAATCATGTGGCCCGACGAGCTCAAACTGATTTACTTGGTTACTTGGTCGCTTGGTTGCAATGTGAATCCAACACAACATTGTTGGATGTTGTAATGTGCATTGTGCGTGGTATTTGAACATGTTCGATGCTGTGTGTAATTACACAAATCAAAAGTATACTAAGAAAATGTATCTTTATGGTTTAGAAAAATGTTTTTTTTTAAATTATTTTTTTTTTAATTATTTTTTAAATTCATATTAATTTGTTAATTAAAATATATAAATATGCATAATAGAAAAAATTAATTAAAGTACATATTAATTTAATTATTTTTATTCGTTATCTATATTTTTAAATAATACTTATAAAGTGATGTTTAATATAAATTACAAAAACTTTCGAAGCCTGGCACTTTCAGTCCAAACAAATTATATATCAACTATAAACTAATTAAAAATTCGAAAATTTTTTAAGACCACTAATGATGCAAGTACTTATACAATACCCGAAACAACGTTGTATGGTCAGCCAAATTTCAATAAATTAACTAAAACTTTTGTTGTTGTCTTCTCATTTCTATTAGAATCTTTCTAACTTTTAAATAGTTTATTTTTTCATAAGTGGCATGGGCGTACACAGGAAGGGGCAGAGTGACTCTTCACGTACATATTGAGAAAAGAATATATTAAATTTAATAAACGGATTGTAATATAGTAAATAAGATGCCAATAATTCTATATACTATATATATATTCTATATACTATAGTATATTCTATAGTATATAATTGTGGTTAATATATAATACGTAATATATATTATTTATGTTTATTTCAAAAATAATAAATAATATTGTTATTTTATATTTATTAGAAGTGCAAGAGGATTATTGTGTTTACTTCGTCGTTGACCGTATTCTATATCATTTTCCAACACAATCAAAATAATGTCGTATAAGTTTTTTAGTTCTTCATGAACTAAACTACTTTTAGTTCTTTCTACACCACAATAATATTTCTTATTTCTTCTAAATAAGTGTCTAAATTTATGGGTGTACCAAAATCTTTGGCCTGAATACATATAGCACATTTGAC